TAAAATTATTTAATAATTGTTCAAAATTATCGAGTTCGAGATTACTGCGCGATGGTGCGAATTCGATGATTATCGAACACGCATAATTAGTCGATAACTGACCAATTAACACATTCGATACCTTTAGTCGATAAGAACAAATTTTCGGTGTGCTAAATTTATAGAGGATGTTCGGCCAGCCCTGGGAAAAATTTTAATGGGGGATTCCAGAAGCCAAAATAAGATGAAAATCAAGAATACCAATTTCTTGGCTGAAGCTTCATTAAAAAGTTATTAATAATTAAATTCAAAAATTTCAAATCGTTCTGGAAAAATTATTTTCGGTTGCGGGGCTCAATTACAATCATTTTTGGTGAATAGACATATCCCCGAAATCCTGCGCATTTTCGAGAAAAAAATTAAATGTGGGTGGAACTTTAAACGTTAATAACTTTTTAACGAAGCCTCCATCAACAAATTGGTATTCTTGATTTTCGTCTTATTTTGGCCTCTAGAATTCCCCATTAAAATTTTTCCCAGGTATGGCCGAACATCCTGTATAGTTTCGTCTATTCGGATTAAGTCAAAATTATTATTTCTAACTTATTTTTTCAACATTATGCTATTGTATTTGAGTATGTCAAGGGACTGTAATTAAATCGATAAAACGAATACTAAATAGTCGGAGCATGTGAATCCATGAATTTTTTGAAAATACACGTAGGCTGGTTATCAACGGAAGGTCGTATCAATTATAGAAAACCACGTGACCGCGTTTTCCACTAACATTGCATACTGGATGTTTTAGAATTATCCTTGTTTCATTTATCGTGAATGGCTGACATCGTAGTTTTCTTCGTGATTAAAACAATTTATAAAACGTTTGTATCTAGTGACCGAATTTAATGGTCGATGATAACGAAAATATTAGTCGCGATAATAGCTTTTCCGTGTCCCGTTGATTCTTATGAAGTGTGTATCTATACACCGTGTATATTATCGCGTTGCCTGATACAAGCAACGCGAACCCATTGACGAAAACTGCTTTTATCTTCGTGTGGAGAATGCTGTCCAATTAACGCAACCTCTTTTAAGAGCGCGGGGTACAAAAGCTTGGGAAACGACCATACACTCGTTGATGGTTTTCAGTAGTGGCGGCACGTGCCACTGACAATCAAGTGCAGCGAAAAAGGCAGTGCACGCATCAAACGAATTGCTTCTTATCCACGTATTCGTCACGTGATCGTGACTTTAGTCTTATTCTTAGAAAAAACAAAAGCTTTCTTTTAATTTGGTAAATATTAATAGATAACTAATGTTCGTTACAAATAAGATTAAACGATTTAAAAAAAAAACCCGAGGGAAAAGAAGATTAATTTTACAAATCTGAATTTACGATATACTAGACAGGATAAAATGATCTCATTGATATGTAGATGTCGTAGCCAAGGTTGCGAAATAAGAACGGCGATTGCACTTAGAGTTATAGCATGAGAGTAGCAGATAATCGACAAGACAATAAAGTCATTATACAGAATAGCCTTGGTTTGCGACTTATTGTTGTCCCTGCTCATTTGCATTCACGAATATTTTTATTTAAAAATGAGGACAGAGTTATCCTTTTTTACGTTGCAAATAAAATGGAATTGTCTCCTCTGTTATTACCCTAAAGCTAATTAAACAGTCGTCTCTTATATTCGTTGTAAGCATTAATTATATTCCTCTCTATTTGTTTATCATACAAAATCTGCGACAACCAATCGAGAGATTTAACCACGAACAACTATTTTACTTGGCACCTGTTCTTTACTTGAAAATAATCTAACTTTAAATTAGTTTCGACGACAGAGCGCGCCACTGACGATAAACTAGTTGTCACCGTTCCAGTATGAACTAACAATATTGTTCGGGCAACTTTTTGCCCACAATATGCAACGCTATTATGTCGATTTTAATTCGTAATATATCAACTGTTACGACACAGGGTAAATAGTTAATATTTGTATTTCTTACCGCGTTGGTAAATAATTTATAAAACGTTGTTATAGAAGAAAGTAATTTAAGGGTTAAGACCACTGTAAAAGCCTGAAATAAAGCATTCTTTTTTTTGTTTGGATGAATGGAAAAATAAAAGGATAATAATATTTAAGAATGTTATTAACCATGTCGTTAAGTGTTACAAAAAAAATACTTATTCAAAAATTGTGCAAAATGACGACGCTGGCCATTCTCGCGAGGCGCTCTGCGGCACACAGTGTAACTGACGCTAAGTATCTGGGAAAAAAGCAAAAAATTTTCTCTTAATCTACATGAGTATAGCTAGAGAAATACGAAGAGGATTTTTGAAACATTAATTTTTGCGTGATTGGTGAGCATTCGAAGTAAAAAGCTAAATTTTTTACAAAAAATGGGGCAATCATTTGTCAATAAATAATGTTAAAATTACCGAGGATTCGAAACACACGTCGCGAGAATGGCTCCAGCGTCGTCATTTGGCACTATTTTCTTTTTGTAACATTTAACGAAATGGTTAATAATATTCATGAATATTATTATTCTCTTACTTTTCTATACATTCGAAAAAAAACGCTTTATTTCAAGTTTTTACAGTGCTCCTGCCCCTTAAAATAGAAATTTAACGTCCCGTTATGCAAGAAAATAAATTTCCCGTATTTTGTATATCCGGTCGAGATGTTTAGTTCAGTTGGAATTCACTCGAGGAAATTGATAATATTAATTTATTAGGAGCGGACGATACGCGAGGAGGTGATAGCGACAAGCAGACACACTTGATGCAGATCCAGCCGCACGTGTGGCTTACCACGACTCTACGAGTACTGGTTACCCACCTTGGGACATTTCTAAAAAGAATTCACATCAGAAATTGCACGCAACGACCTCAGCGCGATCCCGAAAAGCTTGTTCCCGTTCCCCAGAAAATACACAACGAAAGAAATTCGTTTTATCGAATATGAATCATCGACGATTGTTAATTTCCAATTTGAAAAACACAGACCAAATCCCGTTGTTCGTTGATTCATTCTCGTATCGAAGACATCGATCGCGTGATACTTGAAATTGCAGAAACGAACGTAGCTATCGACGAGAAAGTTACGCGGAATTTACGCCGGGGTAGAAACCTCGCTAGCGTTCCAGTCTTTCATATTTCTATTTCGCTCTCGTAACAAGGCCAAAGTAACGCTAGTTAGAAAGATGTTTGCCACTCGTTATGGTCATAATCAGCGATCTGTACCGATTACATGCTTCTCAACCAGTTAATCGAAGCTTATCAGGTTCACTTATAGATATTACACAGTAAGATAATTGCGTGTTTTTCGAGTACTATTTAAGTTTGTAAAATCTTTATTCTAGTGATAAATAATGAATGAAAATTAATTTTTAACTTTCTTTTGTTTTTATAATTACGTGATCATTGGAGTTGCATATGGCGTAGAAGTGCACCGAGTCCACGCCAGAGGCCGCAACGTGTCACTTTCGTTATATCTGTTTTATATCAATACACGTGTAGTGGTTGCTTTTACATAGAAATAACGAATTCCGCAGATTTTTTGTGTGCTTAGTATATTTTGAAAAATATGGAGTGATAAGATAGTTTGTACTTAAATATAACAGACGTCTATGCTTGTATAGATTTTTTACATGCTTTATCTAAATAAAAATATGTCCGTAAGTTATAATCAATATAACTGTCGAATAACGTTATTGAAAACAGAGTAATTAATACTGCATTGGGTTTATGATCAATTCATTGCTTAATCTTCCCGTAATCTGAATTGATGTTATCGCGTGACGTCGAACCGGTTCACTAGCAGAAACACTATCGTCGAATGCACGCTAGAATTATCGTTTCGATCATCTTTATTTTCCACATTGGTCGTAAATAAGCGTTACTGAACCGGTTTTGTACTGAAGTATCGTATAATTAAATACTCAAAATACTATGTATCCGGATATCTTCCATTGTTTTGTTCGTAGATTTCGTGCAACGTTCTGTATCAGGAAATCATGAACTGTGGTTCGACAGATAATGTGGACAATCAATCGTCCTCACAAGGCAACGGGAAGAAATGTTTTTTCTGGATCGATAGACTTGAAATTGCAGTGCCACGTTATTACGGGCGCTGAATAATTAATGATTCTCCCGGGACGTCTAGGTTAGGGTTCTTAGACTGTCACCGTTTAAAGTTCACATATTCTAGGGTTAAAATATAATAACTTACAAATATAGTATTTCATTTTTATTGTTTTCTAAATTCTTTTACTTTTCTGTTTTTGGTAATTTTTGTATATAAACTTTTTCTACATTACCAACAAGAGAATCTAATGTTAAGAAGAGTTCCTACGTATATAAGATGTTCGGACACATCTGGGAAAAATTTTAATGGGGGATTCTAGAGGCCAAAATAAGACGAAAATCAAGAATACCAATTTGTTGATGGAGGCTTCGTTAAAAAGTTATTAATGTTCAAAGTTCCGCCCGTGCTAAATTTTTTTCTCGAAAATGCGCAGGATTTCGAGGGTATGTCTATTCACCAAAAGTTATTGTAATTGACCCCCGCAACCGAATATAATTTTTCCAGAACAATTTGAAATTTTTTTTTTCCATCGAAAAATTTCACACCTTCTCGAATTTTTTTCTCGAAAGTGGGTAGGATTTCGAGGGTATGCCTATTCACCAAAAATGATTGTAATTGACCCCTGTAACCGAAAATAATTTTTCCAGAACGATTTGAAATTTTTGAATTTAATTGTTAATAACTTTTTAACGAAGCCTCCATCAACAAATTGGTATTCTTGATTTTCGCCTTATTTTGGCCTCCAGAATCTCCCATTAAAATTTTTCCCAGGGATGACCGAGCACCCTGTGTATCCGTCACTATACCAAACAATATCGGTATAATACCGTAATTTTATATTTCGATATAAGTCATTGCAAAGAACACGTTGTATTGATATAATGGAGCGCACGATTAATTGGTTGGTTTTAACGCATGTTGCAGCCTATGGTTCAGGATCCTCAAATAGCGGAATCGAAGAGTGCGATACACCGTCAAGCTGCCGAGCGAGGATAGCCATTCGATCCTAACTCGCTCGAGTTTCCAGTTGGCGTGATCGAAAGGCCTCCAAAACGTCGACCCCGTCGGTGATCAAGTTATCGGGGGGTGGAACAGGTGGGGGTGGGGAGCAATTGTCCCCAGGGCCTGGCCCACCTCTCCCGGTGTCCCCAGCCGAACGTAGCAATGCTAATGAGAACGATGCCGCCGCGACGAAATGCGTCGACAGCTTTCCGCAGACCGCTGAAACCACCATGAGCTTCGTTTTGCAGCTGGGCACGATGGAGGCGTCTTTGGAGAAGAAGAATGTCGGAAGCAATCAGACCTCTTCTATGTTGTTGAGTCAAGAATCATCTCATCCGGTGGTCGATAACGAGGACGGCGGCAAATCGCAGATTCTTCAGTGTATAGAGGCCACGTCGGAGATCCCAACTGGTCACGTTATCTCTTTCTCCACTGTAAAGTCGGTCAGCGTTACATATCCAGTAACCAAGTCAACCAGAGAGGTCCAAAAGCTCACTGGCTCCCAAACAAACACCACGCAGGTGTTAACCACCCGTGTGATCTCGCAAAAATTGCCATCCTCGAGCCATCAGACCCCTTTAACACTGAATGCATCCCCTCACGTGACCCATATACCGGTAAACGCTCAGTCCTTATCATCGCCGGGCAACGGAGTGGCGCATCTATACCCTTTGCAACATGTAACGTCCGCGCAGAGCAAACATCACAATAGGAATCAAGTGGTTGGCTGCGAGAGCAAGCAACAGGCAACCATAGTATCCGGTCTACAGGCCAGCCTGCATCAAAAGATTCAATCGGTTCCCTCGCAGCAGCTTGTGACCAGCGGCACGGTGAAGGCCATTAGCACCGCCACCTCGATGCCCAACATTCAGAGGATACACGCGAAAGCGCAAAATCTTGTAGGGCAGTCGCAAACTGTTAACTTGCAGAAAGTAAAAGCCGTGACGAACGTCAGCCAGGGTGTTACCGTTCAGAGGAATTCCGTACCTAGGATACAAACTGTACAAAAAGGTCAGGTGTTGTCTACATCCGCCGTCCAAGGGACGCAGTTTGCCGTTAACCAAGTGGTGAACAACGCTAACGTACAAAGAGTCCAGCAGGGGAACTCGACGATCCAAAAAGCACAATCGAACATCATGGCCGCGCAAAAAGTGACACAGGTTTATAATAATCAAAAGGTACCATCGCAGATACTGGGTAGTCATTCGAATCATAAAACGCAACACCAGCAGATCGCCAATAATCAACAGCAAGGAATGCAAAAGCTACAGGGTCAGCCGCAAAAGAATCTGACCGTTCCCAGGCAACAGTTGACGGCCACGGTAAATAACGTTCAAAAGTCTTGCAATTCTGTAGCTGGTATACAGAAAGCACAAGTATTAGGGCAGGTGCAGGGTCAGCAACAGTCGCCGCAGGTTCATCACAAGCACGGCCAGCAGATCCAGTCGTCGCAACATCAGAGGTCCCAGTCCGCGGCAGCTTTGCAAAAGTCACAGACCGTGGCCGCGGTCAATTCCAATAGAGTGCAATCCATAACGAACGTTTGCAAAAGTAACAGCGTCCCCAACATCGCCAAGTCGCAGCAGAACTCGAACCTGATGGCCGTAACCAAGCAGCAAACGATATCATCGCAGTCGCAATCCCAACAGGTACACGCCCAGAACTCGTCGCAGTCGCAGTTGCAGTTGCTACAGCAGACCTCGCAACCTCAGCAACAGTTGCAGCAACACGCGAGCAGTAAGCAACAGCAGCAGCAGCAGCAAACAAACGTAAATCAACAGGTACAGAGGACACACAATATTACGAATGTACATCAGAAAGTTACGGCTGTTGGAACGATGCCAAATAATCAACGTACACAGGTGGTGAACTCCAAGGTGCAACAACAGCAGATGGTCATGAGAGTAGGCGTGCCGAAAAGTCAAGTACAAAATTTGCAGCAGGCAAGCTTGAAAAGCGTTCCTCAGAAAATCGCGAACGCCGCGAAGATGCCAAATTCTCAGAACGCTGTTCAACAGTCGCTGCACAGGAACATTAATTCGCAACCGGTTAAAATCATACAACAACAGCAGAATGTGATAGGGCCGCAGAATGCTCAGAAACAACCTGGATGCATTAAAACGATACCTCCTCAGAAATCCGCACAAAGAAATCATCAGCAGAAAGTGACCGGGTTCAAGACCTCCTTAAACGCGAATGTGACCGCGGTGAAGAGTCAAGTACCGGTTGCTGCGATCGCGCAGAAGGCAAGCATCAAGACGTTGCTTCCGCAGCAAACTGTTACGCCGAACATGTTGATTCATAAGAATCAGCCCATTAAGGTACAGCAGCAAACGATACAGCAAAAGCAGCTTATCATGGCATCCCAATATCCCCAGCAAGTTAGGCAACAAGCTGGGCAAATAAAAACCTTACTGCCTGTAACTAGCACGGAACCTCGAAAAGATGTCGAGAACAAGTTAGTATTATTTCCATCCATATTACGCGCTACTTCGTTGTTTTATGTTTAGTTGCTTTACCTCCTATAAATTATGTAGGTGACTTGTACACGTTTGTGTAGCTTTCCTTGTTGGTATAGTTCATGTAGTGCGATATATCAGAAATTGCAACGAAACCGAACATGAAATTATTTGGAAACGAATGGGATTTGTTTTTTCATCGACTTAAACATCGAATTAAAGTTTGTTGATAACCGAGTAATTGATGCGTAATATTTCTAGAATCGAATCTGAGTCGCGTGTAACTAAAGAAGATGAACATCAACAAACTGCTCCTAAATCTCCAATTAGAAGAATGCCCCTTCCTTACGAGGTAACATGCTGTGAACATATTGTAATTTATTACGTACTATAGTGTAGTGTTAATCGTGCGTACTTATTTCGATTGATTCTATTATCACAGTGTCTTCAGTTTGTCCTACAAGATCACAACTACGGAGCACCACCACCGCGAACACCTCCACCTCCATCACCGCCGCCTCATCCGAAGCAGCAACCCATTAACGGCGCTGGGAGTTCGACTGCAACTTCTCAGCACCCTTATATCTATGGGCAAGGTAATCAAAGAGTGATATAACGATCAAATATTAATTTCGTTTTCGAAGTATTGAGTTGGCCAAAAAGTAATGTCCGATTTTGTGACGTTTTTTTATGTTTTTCAACGCAAAATACTATTCCTAACCTATAAAACGTATACAAATTGTAAAAGCTAACACTTTAATGCGTGGTTTTGAAGAAATTACATTTGGTTAAATTTTCTTGACTGAACTTTGTTTTGAAAATGAGCGATAAGAAAATTATACTTTTCGACGATTATGCTTTTGTCAATTCCACAAATAAAGAGCGTTGAACAGACAACGAAAAAAAAAAAGACTTTATTACGCATGACGATGGAGTTGCAAACGAAATAACGATTTAAAAATGGTTTAAAAGTATTCGCGGTGGAAAAATTAAGCTGACCGATAATAAACGCTTTGTTAAACCTAGAGAAAGTGATTACTTAAAATAATGTGAAATGGAAAAGATGTTTGTTGAGATTGAAAAGAAAAACTCTATTACGAGCTTTTGTAATCTAATAAAACCATTCATTCTGAGAAGTATTGTTCGCAATTGGAGCAACTGAAAGCAAATATCCAGGAAAAACGATCGAGACTACCAACAGAAATGGAGTAACTTTTCATCAAGACAGCACGAGACCATAACTATCTTTACAGACTCGGCAAAAATTGAAGGACCTGACGTTCTCATCCATTCGCTTTGATCTTGCATCCTCGGATTACCATTTGTTTCGATCTCTGCAAAATTCGCTCGATGCTGAAAATATTGATTCTCTGGATACCTGTAAAATGCGCCTGTTAAGATTCTATATCGAAAAAGATGGAAAGTTCTGGGAGAACGGAATTAAGAAGCTGCCAGCGAGATAGGAAAAGGTTGTGGATCAAAATGATCGATACATTGTTTATTGAAATATAAATTATAATTATTTTTCTGAAAATTATATGACATTACGTTTTGGCCAAACCAATATATAAATATGTAAGAAACGTGTGTAATTTTGGTTTTAACGTTGCTCTTAATTGCAGTTGTAACTGGCACTAATGTGGAGGATGATGCAGCCAGTGCGATCAGTAGCGAGGCAGGTAGAGAAGCCGAACCAGAAGGTGAAGAAACTGAAACCGCTCCCGAAGGAGAGGGAGATGACGAAGATAGCGTTACTAGATGTATATGGTAAATATTTGTAATTACTTAAGTACCTCGCAATGCGTCTCTGCAGTTCACAAATTTTGCGACAGATTATTTGAAAAGAAATGTGTTGCTTTCAGCGACTTTGAACACGACGATGGGTACATGATATGCTGTGACCGTTGTCTGTGAGTATCGGTCATTCTTTTGTCCGGTATTAAGGTTTATTCAAAAATTGTTCGTTGTAAATGATGCAAATATTTGATTTCAGGGTTTGGCAACACGTCGACTGTATGGGTATAGATCGTTCAAACATTCCTGACGAATACCTCTGCGAAATCTGTCGACCGCGACGCGTAGACAGGCAAAGGGCGCGCGCGCTGCAGATGCGCAAGCGAGAGGAATTGCTAAATTCAGATACTTCGTCTGACACATCATCCACCAGTTCAGCGGACACCGATATCGGTGTGAATACGGTTCCAAAGAAACGAACTTTGCAACATCAAGTCCCGCGACGAAAGTCTGAACCGCCGCCTCAAGTAAGACGCCTGAACAACAATAATAATAACAATAACAACGTGGCAAAAAGGCAGCGGAGGGATTCTCATCCAAGACAATCCAGCACAGTTCGTAAGAAAGAAGTCACGAAACGGGGCCCGGGCAAACGCAAAGTGAAACGACGAATGAGTCTTGAGGACAAGGAAGAGGAGACACAAGACACGTGGAGTTCTTCTAACGTGGCGCCGCTTAGACAGTGGATCGAACGCTACGAGGAAGCTGTAACGAATCACTATAGTCCGGAACTGAGAGCTAGGATATCCTCCATTAAAGTAAACGGTACGCACAGTGACCTGAGGCAGAGCAACATGAATGCCATTGCCACTGGAAAGTGCAGGCTCAACGTGCACAGTAATAATGTTAGGGTAGGTATAACCATTCTGTACAATTACAGTAATGCACGAAGGGTTAAACTGATCCAGCAAAACCTGTTTCCTTTTGATATAGACAATAATATCGTCGCTATATTTTGTTGTAGTTTCTAGTAGCGACAATGTATCTTCCACCAAATACGCCAGTTGTCGAATTAAGAGGAAAGTATATGTTGAGCACGCAGCATCGGCCGGCGCATCCTCAAGGAAGACAGCACATCCAGAGGCCAGGACCTTTCGTGTTCTTCTATCGATTGCCACGCGACGGGACAGAAGTATGTGTGGATACCAGAACGTACGGGAATGATGCTAGATTTGTACGGCGCAGTTGTAAACCTAATGCAGAAGTGAAGCATTGTATAGAGAAAGGAACGTTGCATTTGTATATTGTGACCACTACTGCGGTCGAGAAAAATGCGGAGATAACGATTAGACACGAACAACATGACTTGCTACTGTCGCCTAATCCGAATGGCCCCATGATACCCATCTTTTGCGCGTGTAACAATCCAAGGGAATGTCAAATAGCACCTGTAAATCAATTGACTAGACGAGGAAGTAACGGGGCGATAGCAGAAAGTGCCGAGTAAGTTTTTTGAAATGAAGAAATTTAAAAATTGGAATATAGATTGTTTTCTTTTTGTTTGTCAAGTGACTATAACTTGAAAATGGGGTGAAATAGGATACATGTTTGTACCTTTATCATTGTTTTTGTATCTTCAAACTAATCCTAAAGTGAAATCCACATATTACGATACATCTAGTGTAATCCCCCTTCTTTTTTTGTAACAGTGGTCGAGAAAGAAGACGGAGGGCTAGACGAAACACAGTTTGTGAAGATAGTGATCCTACGCCTGTAATCCCTAGTACCAGTGTCACACCAACGACGCCACCATCGACAACAGTACCGTCAGTATCCGCGCCGCCTAGAAGGACAATTACAACCACTGTTGCAAATACAACTCGCCAACCGCCGAAAGAAGAAACACCGGCGACCATCGTTCAACAACCGCAAATATCACCAACCTTGAGTCAAGCTCCAGCGCCAGAAAGCAAAAAAGATAAAAAGAAGATGACCAGAGAAGAAAGAAAGATGGAAGCCATCATGAAAGCCTTCGAGAGACTCGAAAAAGCGGAACAAAGAAAACAGGAGGTTCAAGCACGGAATGCGCAAAGGAAAGAGTCAGGCAGTACGCACAGTGATAACGATGACACTCCGAGCGTTACAATGCAGTCGAAACAGAAGCAACAGAATTCGGAGAGACCGTTGAGGAGAAAAAGGCGGAAAGGTCGAACCAGAACCACGAGTAGTTCCCAATCGCAGGGCAGCAGTCGAAGAACAAGATTGAATTCCGCAGACTCTGACGTGTCGTCCGGTGAAGAGAGCAACTCGATGCAGTCGCCACCTTTGTTGAGCCAAAATCATTCACAGAATCGGGACCTGCCTTACTCTTCCCATTTGCACACTCCAGCCAAGAACACGAACGAAACTGTTAATCCAGGATCTGGTCATCAAGGAATTTCAACGGCCGCTGGCCTTTTGTTGGCTCTGGCAAATTCCAACGCGCCAGGGCCTAGTTCTCCTCCGTTACAGCAACCCACGCCAGTGAAGAGTCCAACCTGCGACAGTGGAGCGAGCAGTAGTTCTCAGAGTTCTACGCCATCCACTCCGTTATCGTCAGCCTGCTTGCTCGTCGCAGCCGCGGTTGGACCATTAGCACCCGGATTCAAGTTTCCAAAGACTAAGAAAGTCCTTATGAACGAGTGGTTAAAGGAATCGCCGGATCCACCTCAATCCAACATAACTCAGGTGTCTCCGTTGCCAGTTTTACCATCAGCGCCTCTGTCGAATTCGATAAATCCACTTTGTAGGTCATCGGATTTTTCATTGCCTACAGACTCGTCCGCAGAGTTCTTGACGCAAAGCTATGCGGCGAAGAGTCTTGCCACCCTCGTACAAGCGGCCAATTCTGTTTCTGGAATATGCGACTCGCCACCTCAACGTAAACAAGCGATCAGTGGAAATACAGTGTGCCCTGTCTCCACAGGGTCTGCCAAGAAGAGGTGGTTACGGCAAGCAATTTCAGAGGAGTGTGATTCACCAAACAGTAGACCGGAAAGTCCACCGCCCAGTGAAATGGTAGCTCCGCCAAAGAAAAGGAGAATAGCCAGGGAGAGCTTGTCATCGGACAATTACACTCCACCGACAACACCAACCATGCTAATTCCTGAATCTATTCCAAACAATAGATCTATGTGCCCTGCAGACGTAAGTACTATCTTTCATTTGTTTGAAAACTGCATTACTGTATAATGAAAAATTAAAAAATTAATATTTTAATTGTCTTTTCCAGGATGATTTCATCGAACATTTACAGTCACCGCTGATCGAACAGAATGATGAACGAAATTTGGAAGCAGAGTCTATAATGAAAGAGGAAATTAATTCACACGAACGGGTAAACCAGAACGAGAACTTAAGGCAGAAGCTTTCTATCGATATCCCTCAGGATTTTCATCTGAAAAGTATGAAGAGCGAAGAGTCCACAGAAATCATACAGATGGACACTCTGTTGGTAAAAAAAGACGAAAACGTTGAGGTGAAGGAAGAATTAAAAGATGAAATCGATTGCGACTCTTCCATGCATCTGGATTCGAAACCGTTTGTCAAGGAGGAGTTGCGATCTGTCGAGAGTGAAATGGTCGATCATCACAAAGATAAAGTCAAGAAAGAACATAATATAAAAGAGGAGCAGTTAGAGATCGAGAAAGGTACAGTCGAAATAATCGATCAGAATGAAGGGGACACGGAAATGGAGGATCTTAGTTCTCCCATCGCTGCCATGGAATCTGATGCGATCCTAAAGCAACGAGTAGCTGAAATGAGACTGGAGTTCGAAGGCAGCATAGCTGATATAGAGAATGATAAATCTGACGACGAGGAAAAGTTCGATAATGCGAAGTGCGAGGATAAATCTGACGACAACATGTCGATTGACGAGTTTGACGTAGAGGCGCAAATGAAAAAGATCACTGGCGACGATGGGAACGATTACAAGGAAAAGATAGACACTAGCTCGGAAAAGGACAAGAGCATGGATGGAATAGAGGGCTTAATGGAGAGTTCGAAGGAGGATTCTGAATCTGAGGATAAGGAAATGGATGATGTAAAGTATGAGCCATCGTTCAAATCATTCGGTATAAATCATGAGGAGAGGTTGTTCAAGGAGTTCGAGAGCAAACCCGAACACGACGACACTCTGGAAGAAAATGTTAAAGATGTTGAGCATAGCGAAGAATCTCAAAAAGCGGAACAGCCATCTGTGTTCGTCGCTTCATCGGAAGAATCCATATTCGAGTCAACGTCGTCCAACATGGACACTGAATCCCTCGTAGAGCCACCAAAGATATTCCATTCCATTCCACCGTTGAGTGAACGTATTCGTAAAAAAACAGAAGTAACGAACATTTCCAAAAGTCAACTGAATTTTGAGGCAGCTATTATCGAATCTACTATCGATATTGAGTCAACCGATGAATCGAAAAATGGCGAACAAAAGTCCATGCTCTCGACGGCATTGAGAGAATTACTAGAGGCCAAATTAGATGACCTGACACCCGAAGAAGTGAAAGAAGAAACTACTGACGAAAATAGCACCTCGTATACTGAGCCAAAATCAGAAACTTCAGAACAGAGTGTAGATGTCCAAGAGTCTACTCTAAGGACTGCCCCTCAAGAGATTCCCGTTGAAGATGCTTTTATCAAGGAAGACGAAATTCCACCCAAGGAAATTAAGCGATTAAAGGATCCTAGAACCGTTGTTCCAAATAACATGCCAGCGCCTGCATTTAAACCAGAAGCAAGTGCTCCAGTTAAGAGAAAGGTTAGAATTGACGGAAGTTCAATTATAATTTATCACAATTAGTATCCAATAATATCGGTTACTATTCAATATACAGTGCTGTGAAATTTTAAGATTTGTAATGTTTCATTTTAGCTGTCCATATCCGAATACCGTAAACGGAAACAACAGTCATCCGGTACACCTCCAGAACCCGAACCCTCAAACGACACACCAACAACGGATAAAGGTGGTGCAAGAGGTAGATCCGATAGTGCGAGTAGCGGAACATCGTCTCTCAGTTCTGACGAGGAAGGTTCTAAGATATCACTATCCCTCGATTTACCGGGTCTCACCGCATTGCCGATCTTCACTAATGCGGAAAGCGAGGAGAAGAAAGGTAATAATCAATATTTTTTACAAAGTTTTACTGAAACAGGAATTTATAAACTTGAATATACATAGTTGGGATGATCTGACCACATCGTTTCACGCATTCAGGTGGTGAGGAAGGCACAATCGGCTGGTCCGCTGCTCCGACTTTAGTCGAACGTCAACGCGAGAACCTCACAGAGAGATTGAAACGAGAATTTGGATTGTTTCTCAGCGACGACGAGGAGGAAAGAGCTCGTAAACACGGTAAGATCATCGCCTATCTTATTCTTTTATTATTATTCTATTACTTGTTTGTTATACTCTGATAATTTTTGTATTATCCGATTCTCTAAATCTGAACAATTACAGGTCTAACTGCAGAGGCGATACTGAAAGCGCGCAAGGCGTCTCCTCCGCATCCCTCGGTTTCTAACACGCCACCAAGTTACCCGCTACCGCAGTTACCACCTCAACCTTATATTCCACCCCCTGGCTCCGCGTCTATTCATTATCCTCAGTTCCAGGCTAAACCTTGTCCTCCCGTTCATTATCCGAACTTTACAGCCCCGCAGAATACTTCGCAGCCAATATACGCAAATACCGCAGCACCAGCGTCTACCAGCAAGCAGACACAGCAGTTCTTGGTGCCTCAAGCATCGCAAGCGCCACCGGGCTCAAACCCGTATCCACCTCAGTTCATTCCACCGGCTACCACTGCGGTGGCGATCTCGAAATTCTCCTCGGTGACACCACCGCCACCGGGGAACCAAATGTACCCTGCATCTGGCCAGTCGCAAAAACCGTTTTACAATCACCCGGCGCCCAGGTCTTAACCCACATAAAAGGTAGTGCTGTTGAAAGAATTTTTAGCTGCGGATGTCGTGAGGGATCGGCCCCGAATGCTGTTGTCGGACGTTCTCACGACTCATCTTTAATTCCATTAGATTAAATTTATTAAGTTGCCCTCCCCTGGGAGGAAGGGGGAGAAGATATTTTGAACGGAACAAAAACGAATCTCGCGGTCTCTTCTGGCTTGCGTTGTTCGCGTTTACGCGAGTATAAAGGGTATTTAGATTATAAACGGTACGGTGAACGAAGAAGAAGAGACCGTCGATGATCCCCAGGTGCTAACCGTTCGCTTATAGAAACGTTATGCAACACTTCTGATGGTTTCGGAGACGCACTTGATGCAATTCGCGTGGCCTAAACGTTAAGTATTTTGAAGCGTATAAAGATGAACTATCTGTAGTGTTCGTGCATCTTAGGTAACAGCCGTGTTTCAGAGAGCAAAAAGGAAAACTGTATTGGCATCTAAACGTAATGGCCAAAAGTGTATCGACGTACATTTTTTATATCAGTGAAACGGTGCCCTAACAATGTTTATACATAGCATTAGTCCAATTTTTGATGAAACTATAACAAAGTTGGAAATTAATCCAAGCTGATAATCGTGATACTGTTGACTTGGATGCATATATATATATATATATACATATACATATACATATATATATATACATATAAATATATATATATATATTTATATTTATATATACAACATGCACACTTGCATTATCCGATTTTTCTGTAAATATCATTTGCATATATGCATAATATAACGATACAGAACTATTGTATTTAATCTTAGTTAAGAATCAATTAGCGAAGAAACAGACGGGAACTGACATATGCTGTGCTGTGCGTTGCGCTCTACTTCAATTTTGTTTAAAAAAGAAAAGAGAGAAAACAGTATCATGGCAAGAACTTTCTCTATCTGTCTCTTTAGAATTTTATAACTTTCAAGCTCGAATAGTCATTGCACAGTAACGAGTTCCTCGTCAACATAACAATTTACTTTTTCGATTCCATCGTGATGATGATCATCGATTCCATGGAAGAGCACACAGGCCTGTTTAGGATAAATTGTACAGTGCAAAGTTTCTTCCGAGGCCCTAGACTGAACGTTCCCACAATTTGATAAGTCCGACACCATTTAAAAGGCTCGTTTTCTAATCGTTTGAAATTTTCCGAAATTTTTTCTGTTCCATTTCTGTTCCTTTATTTCTTGTGGTCGACCTAGCGCGATCATATATATTTTTATTTAAGGATCCGTTCGAGACCTGTAACTTAACATTCATTCATAAGTACAAAGCTCTGTAAGAGGCGATAGAAAAAAGAAAACTGTATTAAGGGAAAGAAAAGAATCGAAACAAAACTTGTAAACGATAAACTTAAATAATCAAATACGAAAGATGAATCGTAGTTGGTTATGTTTTCTTTTTTTCTTCTTTTTTTTTTGTTTTTTTTTTGTTTTTTCTTTTATTTGTAAAAAAAGGTAGAAAATCATTCGCGGCATTCAAAAGTCGACTTTTCATTCTTAAATATTGTAAGTACTGCGAGGTTCGATTATTTATTGCGTTCTAGTGGTGTAAATTTGTTCTTTTTTTTTTTTTTTTTAATCCAGTGAACGAGAATTTTACTCGAAAAAAAGAGAATGTAAATGATACATTTGATAGATGACATTCGCCCAGTGTACACAGTGGTGTAATTAAAATTAATGTACAAAGGTCGTATCTAAATCCTAGAGTACTCGTCGTGTGTACATATTATTCGGGTTGATCGATTAATTGCACTTCTTATCGGGAGTAGGTTTCAAGGTTGTCTTGATCGTTCCTCGATGTAAAACGTATCGCTCGTTTGGCGCTTGTATATTTCGTAGGTTTTAAAACGCACGATTAAATTATAGGCAGAAAGTACACAACGAAATATTTTTTGAATTTAAAAGAAAGATAAAACTTTTTTTAAGCACGCTAATCTTTTGCTTAACCTTTGGGCCGTGGAAACTTCTCGCGTCTTTTGGTAACAGTTATCTGAATTTCTGTAACGGAATTAAAACGCTAAACATTACAAAAATATATTGTACAAGCGATTGTCTAATCAAACGTTCAAAGCCAAAACGAAATAAGGAGACAACAAATTAATTTCTAACACTTACAATATTGGAAAAAAACTATTTTATCATATATAGAAATAATATATACAAAAATCAGAACTCTTTGAGGCACTAAGTTACTGAAAAAATGTAACGGGCAGAGACAGAAAGTTATTTTTAATATGGAACAATTGTACGATTTAGACTTTGAATGTAAAGAGATGATAATGTTATCTTGGACTAATAAGGTAGATAGAAAAGCTATTGTTCCTCAAAGAGTCTTCTCGAACATCGCTCTGTTTATCGTTTTGTTGCACTTCGGCGGTATTTTAGTTGGAACCAAAAAAAAAAAAAAAAACGACGGAAAGCAACGATCAATAATAGAAGTTTTAGCGCGCTTGCGAAGTCACATTACACCATTCTGATAAACTGTTTTATTCGGAATCATTTACGAGTTTTTTCGATTTATTGAATGAATTTAGAGATCTGTGATTAGACTATAAGGCGTGAAGGCAGAAACAAATTAATTGTACCGTGAAAGAATTTTACAGAATTTTTTGGTGCGTGTATTACGGATCTCATTGGTGAACAAAGTATAAAAACACTACCGACTTGACCCTCGTTTACATTGCGTTCGTTTGACAGCAGCTTATACACGAAAGTAGAGAAAGCAAAACGGGAAAAAAACATACACACATATGAGACAAGGATATTTTTGGCATTTGGTATTCCTTTATATATACTTTAGCTGATATTTTGTAATAAACGTGTATACTAATGTAAGTTACTCTGAGCACCATTTCGGATGGTGCGAACGTTTATTGGATAAAGGTGTGTACAGCTTGCGTTCCACCACTGAAGGGTGATACTGTGAAACTTGTAAATATTTTTGTAAGATAAATTTAAGTACAGACATCTCTTTCGAGATTTAGCAGATCTTCTTTGAAATCCTTCAAAGATGAAAACTAAGAAAACAAAAAATTAAGAATTGGGTGGAAGAAGAAGAGCGGTAATACAATTGCTTTTTGCAACTACACACATACACACTCACACGACACAAACACATACACACACAGACACAAAGCTTACAATTAATTATTCGTTGTACAATTCTCTTATTGCCCTACCGTATCTCTGTATAATGACATTCTGATGATGAGCGACAAAGGCGTTCTGTTATTATAAAAACTAAGTACTACATTTAGAGGTAAAAAGAAGAAAGAAGTAACTCGTTAGTACAATAGTTTCAATGTTGTAAATAAAACAGATCATAGTGATTATTATTATTATTATAATTATTATTATTGTATGTACATATATATATAATTATATATAGGTATATAATTATATATATAAAAATCGTCTTTATAATAGTATCAGAACACATAATTTTTTTATTTGCAATTCACTGTTACATGTATGTGCCTAGTTATAGCCACGTTGCATTATCTTACATATTGTATGATAATTTAATTCGTACTACCGATTAATGAATGTAACAAGTTCTTCGATATCAAACTCTATATGATATATATACATATATAATATACGATATATATATATAGATATATATATATATGTATCATATAATATATATACATACATATATTATATATATGGCGTAACGTGTAAAGAGCTCATATTTAGGCATACATGAAATTTAATAAATCGGAATACATTTTACGAATTACCAAGTTCTAGCGCTCTATTATTGTCACCTATTATCTCATATCTCTGTATCCTACTGCTCCATTTCCCATACTCATTATCCTTTTCCATGTATACATATAATTCCTACCTCTGCAATCATGTAAATAAGAATAAGACGAGTATACCATTAATTGTTAATGGAAAATTTTCCAGACAATGATCATACTTGTCCGTTGCGTAATTGCATACAATTTCAAAGATACGACCGCGAGTCCGCCCTCCTTGTTCCCGCGTTTAGTTTGATCGACCTAGGCGTACGTCATTGCTGATAATCACCGACAATTGGTCGAGAGACGAGCGGCAGGCGTCTGCTGTGACAGTCGACTCAGTGGCGTCCGACGCGGTGATCACCAGGCCACCACCACTGCACAATGTCCCCATCATCCCAGGCTCAGCTGGACGCAACAGCTGTAGAGAATTTTCGCGACTACTTGCGTATACCGTCAGTTCAACCTAACATCGATTATGGTGAGTAATTCTCCGTCTGTTCACGAAACGTTCATTAATGAAGCGTAATAATTCGTATTCTATCGCGTGTACCCTCGAATTGAATCGTGAAAATCGTGCACGCATATTGCATGCCGGAATGGGGTCGCTCCTCATTTCCTCGTTAAGCAAATTACTTTTGTCTTTGGTGGATCATCAAATCACCAGGTTCGCACGTTCATCCGGACCACGGTTATCAAAGCTCGCGTCGTATCGAGGTCTGCGGACCGTTTCGGTTTTTCTCTAGGCGATAGAGGGTTCGTAGCGTCGGAGACGCTACCCAGCCATTGCATGCCCCACCCTGTGTGGAATGTTATTTCTGTTTTTATATTTTTCCCGGCGGCGAACCGTGCTTCTAAAGCCTTAAGGAAATCGTCCCCGAGGCTTAAGATCGCGTAAAGAAGAATTTTCTAGTTCATTAATACGCGTACACGAGATTGTTATCCAAGGACGACTCGTGGGTGACCTAAATCACACGTACAGTGTGTCATGTAAGTGCTTGGGACACTTGCAAAAAGAAAGTGTAATATATAAAATGCATACACTTTAAATTCAAGATCTTTAAACATTTTTGTGGTAATATCAAGACATGTCTGCTGGAGTAATGTTGACAGACTTGAGCAAGCCTAAGAGTGTACATAGCAGTTTGAAGGTATTTAATAGGAGCAAAAGCTGAATAAGAGTAGAAAAAATATTATATGAAGTAGATGCACAGATTGGACCATTACCTCATATATGTTTAATTCATTCTAAGAGTCATAGGTAGCTAAATGATCTTGATGAAGTTCTTACTTAAAATAGCAGCCTTTGAGTTTTCTGATTGCAAAGAACATGCAAATGTTAAAAAACATGAAATGATTGGAACGTTTAAAATTTTGGTGTTTACAAGACATTAAATTTGTTGACTCACAGTCACTGTTAATTGGGGTATGTAAATTTCTAGTATCTCTTGATAAAATTAGTCTGGAAATAATATTTGTGAAAGATAAGATAACGTGGATCATTAATAAGAAACAAGATATTCCAATTTGATACTCTTCAGGAATTCCTTATCTGTGTCAATATTTACAACTTCAGTTTTGATTTCTATGTTAATAACTGTTTGCTTTAAACTTTTGATAATGAAATAATCTGGTATTAGCGTGTTAAAAATAGACCAGTAAAGAGAGAATTGTAATCGAATGATAATGGATTTATTTGGTCTTCGTGTATAAAATATTTCTTGTACATTATATTACATGAATATTAATTCTGTTTCTTTGTTTTACAGATGAATGTGTTGCATTTCTACAGAAACAAGCCAAGTCTCTTGACTTTCCAATCAAAGTCTACCATATTGATCCAAAGAAACCAATCGTGATTCTCACATGGATAGGTACAGAGCCATCAAAGCCAGCAATTCTTTTAAATAGCCATATGGATGTTGTGCCTGTCTTTGAAGTAAGTATATTATTGTTAATGATTTAAAACCAAAGGGAAATGTTACCTACAAATTTATTAATGAAATTAAATTTTTAGGACAAATGGACCTATCCACCATTTAGCGCACACATGGACGAGCAAGGCAACATTTATGCTCGCGGCAGTCAGGATATGAAATGTGTTGGAATACAGTATTTAGAAGCAATTCGACGCATGAAACTTGCTGGACAGCGCTTTAAAAGAACAATTCATATTTCCTTTGTACCGGATGAAGAAATAGGCGGTGTTCTCGGCATGAAAGAGTTTGTCCATACTAAAGACTTTCAGGCTCTTAACGTTGGCTTTGCGTTAGACGAGGGTGTAGCCTCTCCCGAAGAATGTTTTTACATGTATTATGGCGAGCGATGTATTTGGCACGTCAAGGTTGAGTGTGCGGGTAGTCCCGGTCATGGATCACTTCTCATGGATAATACAGCTGGCGAAAAAATAAGAGTTATAATCGACCGTTTCATGGATTTCAGGGCCAATCAGAAAGAAAAACTGAAAGATCCAAAAATCCAGCTGGGTGATGTTACATCTGTGAATTTGACACAGCTGAAGGTATATAGATCTATTTTCTTTTTTATTTCTTTTACATCCATATTGCCATATATATGCATACATACATACAGACAGATAGATATATGTATATATACATATATATTGTTTAGTGTTTGTTAAGAAGCAATATTGATCACATACTTTATAGTTAAAATTGCACAAAAATACTTACAAAGAACAATAAAATTTATTGAATAACGTATTTGCAATTTTTAATAGTTGCTATATTATTATTACATGTCTGTGCCCTTAGGAGAATAGTATTTCACAGTGAGTATGTTGGTAATTTCAAACTATTTGCTAAAACAATTTTCGCACATAGAAACGTGAACTATTTAAATTTCCTACTCTAACATTATAACTTATTTCGGCTCTGACATTCTCGATACAAAATATGTTTCAGGGTGGTGTGCAAACAAACGTAGTGCCTACTTCCTTAACTGCAATTTTCGACATGCGACTCGATCCCTCCATTGACCACGAAAAGTTTGAAGCAATGATCAAGAAGTGGTGCGAAGAAGCTGGCAAAGACGTAACGTACTCGTTCGAACAGAAAAATCTTAAAATCGAAAACACGAAACTTGACGACTCTAATCCTTATTGGATCGCTTTCAAAAAGACTTGCGACGATCTTGGATTAGTTCTGCAAATAGGAATTTTTCCGGGTGGAACAGATAGTCGTTTCGTGCGCGGGGTACGCATATATATTTCCTATTCATAATCCTATTGAACGATTAACAGAGTTCAGAGAATTGAAATCCGTTTGTATTTGTATTGCAGGTTGGAATTCCAGCGATTGGGTTTTCACCTATGAATAAAACGAAAATACTTCTTCACGATCATGATGAGTATTTGAACAAAGATATATTCCTAAAAGGCATTGAAATATACATGAAAATAATACCGGCTGTTGCCAATGTGTAAGCAGACGATAGAGCATTTAAGAATATTTTAACAATGCTTTCAACAAACCAAAGCTTTAAGTCAGATAACTAGAAATGTTAATAATGGATAAATAGCAGAGAAAGGCGTATAAAAAGTAATATATACATGCATATATGTTCACGAGCGTATGTGTGTGTATATTACTGTTTACATATATGTGCATATATTTATACATATATGCATATATGTGTATATAATACGACCTAAAAATGTTAACATCGCAGACTGATTATACAAGATGCAATTTAAATATGTTATTTACAATTTATCAAGCTTGTTATAAAAAGACTATCCAATGTGCCATTATATATAATGTAGTTACAAAGACTCAACATACTCAGTTATTTAGTGGAAATGCGTCTTGAACAAGACTATTAAAAGATGCTTTCATTATTCAAAGCAGACAAAATATTTTATTAGGAGATTTAACTGAAAAAGTATCAGAAAAGTAATAGGAAAAAGGGATTTAACAATTTTTACAACCCTTTAATCGTGTTTTAAAATATCGAAAAGTACACTAAACGATTAACCAGAAGGGAAATAAGATTTATTTTGTAAGTCAAAGGCAATGCGTTATAGTAATAGGAAATCAAGTGCAATGCTAAATCGCAGAATTATTGTAAAAACTTTGCATATATATAATATATGTGTATATATGTGACTGTTTTAAGAAAAATGCTTATATATTTGATTGAAATGACCACAAAAACTATATTTGTGGTAATTATATATTTTTATAAATAGTCCAACAAATATAATTGTACGAAATAGATATAAGAACACGTCTATTGACTTTAGTGGTATTGAAAGTTCGCATTCCGTGCGAAATACCGCTAAAAATCGATTGTATTGTCGCGATTTATGCAGATTTAATTGAAAAAACAGTGTCGAACAGGCATTTCTACAGAGTGCAAGTGTTCAGTATACAGTTTCTCGCGCCAAAGTCGATAAATCTGTGCGCGCGTGTCTGCATTCCCGCCATTATCTCGGTGGTTCATTCTTAAACGGGGCTGCCGTACTTCCCTCTCCAGTGAAATGATGGACTCGTCCAATATTTATGATCCTTCATCATAAACAATTTTCGCTTTTTCCGAGCAATGTTGTAAACCATTTTGGTCTTAAATGACCGAGAAAAATCATAACTATTTTTTGAGTTGTGAAAAAAATCAAAACATATCGATACAAGGTTACTGTAAGTGATTTTGTTACACGTTGTTTGGGTTCGGCCATTTTAGAGTGGGGAAGGTTAGGGAGAAAACACGCAACCATTTCTGTCAATCATGCCGTGCTTCCTGGAATCTGTGCACACGCGATCGACCATTCGTTGAACGATTAATCGAAAAAAATTATTATTCCGTACAGAAATGATAATCGTGCACATAAGCGAAGAAGAAAATTCCCTCGCAAGCACCCTTTGTCGGCCATGTGCATGAGTACATCGTTTAAAGTGTCCTCGCGAGTCGTATTGTTCGACCAATAAGGAGAGCTCAGCGAAGTCACGTGACTACGGCCGTCCAATCGTCGTATAGGGATTTGAAATCGTGCGTGGTCTTTGTTCACGAGACTGCCGTGTCAACGTTACTTCAGTTCCGTAAAGGGGGCCTTGTGTCGGTGTCCGTTTATGCATGGTCGCTGCCAAAAATCCGCGTTAACTCCCTCGTAAATATATGTGTGAAAGTGGTGCTTTGCCACGAGGACGACGTGCTTCAAGGATCGTCGAACACACGGTAAGTGTTGTTATGCGTTTATCAGGCGCCGTTCATGCGAATCTCGACGAGAAATCTTGGAAAAATATTTCGTATGCTTTGCCGGCCCGCCGTGACCGAAACAGAGACTCGTAAGTGTCAAGGTATATACGAGGGGGGCGGTCGCGACGCTCTGGACGGTTTTTTTTGTTTTTCATTCTATGCGTTTATCGCGTACTCACATGTCTATATTTATGTTCGTCTGTTTATTTACGAAGGTATAATGCGTACAGCCGTACGAATCCGTCAGACCGGTTTAACAATTTTAGGTATAGTCTAATACATTGCCGGTAATACCGCGATAGCCCATTTTTCGGGATATGACGATCTAATTGATTCGTGATTTGTACGTTTACCGCGCTACATCAGTCGAGACGTACGCGGCCGTGAACGTGCATCACCATGGCGATTATTTGTTGATTATACACGAAAATAAACAGTTGGTTCGTTTTAGAGGCAAACCGTGTGTCCAATCGAACTGAATGAGTGATTCATCGCGAACGGAATATAGACACTGTCGTACGTAACTTTCGGCGGGAAGAGAGTATATTTACCGGGGAAACCTTACCCGATGTAATATGTATTTCCGGTGGTGAGAGCTATTGTTTTGCCGCGCGATGCAGTGCTCCTGTTTGTACGATGGAATCGCCTTTCGATTCCATGGCTCGTTTGTGAATGATAGAAAATTTCACGTAGAGTTCAAAAACATACGAATACGTGATATTTTTGGATCCTCACCGTGAGTTTGGAAATTTGCTACTAATTTCGTCAAACGAAAAACGCATTTATTTAAAATGACTCGAAACTTGTCCGGGAGCAATTGTTTTTGTTTACTCAAGTTCAAATAAATAATTATCGATTTTCAGGTATACGCTGGATCAAATTTTACGGTCTTGAGCAATGCTTCTCTGTTTTCTTTGCATATTACGTAATATCGTAAATTTAGAAGATAATAATTTTCGGTTAATAAATTCTTGTTCGGCGTGCAAAGGTATGAATTATATTACAAATACATATTTTAACGTTATTTTTGCTCGTTCAACATAGAATAATAGATCGGTACTGATAATATTAAAGTAAACTTGTCGCGCTTGACTCTCGAATTTTGGCTAAAATTACCCCCGGTCGAGACCGCTGCAGGTAATCGATAGTAGGGGGAGGGAGAGTAATTAAAGGAGCCCATTTTCGACGGGGATTGGGATCTACGGAAACCGTACTATCGATTCCTAGCAAGGAACGACATCATCAAGGAATTTATAATCGATCCCATTGTAGTTTTCGTACGGACGATACGTAACGGTGAATCGTTCGGTTCGGGATTTATTGGTCTTTCGCCAGCTTATCCCTAAAAGACATTTTTCGAAAATGTTGCAAATAACGAGCAGCAGGGAGGGCCCCTCGAGCATTTTCAAGCCTCACCGCCATGAAAGCTATTGACCGTGGGAACTTTCTGGGAACTCTACCCCTCGCCATATGCCTACCGCAGGAAACATCCTACAGGCTCGACCGAAATCAGAGCCGAGCAAATTTTATTTTCTATAATGTAAAATAACATTATCTTTTCAGAAAGCGAAATAGTTTCATTATTTTTACATTAATTATCGTCCCATTGTTTTTGGGATAGACAATTAATTTCATTTTTAAATGTTTCAAAAATAATGTTTTAAAATGTAAATGAAATATTTTAGGTTAAACTATTGATCGATTATTTACTTTTCAGGTACAGAATTAGTTTCTGAACCGGCGTTGCATAATTATATGTCAAGCGAGAAGTAATCACGAAGTAAAATAACGTGTTACGATAAAAGAGACCAGATCGAATCTGAAATTCACCTTCTCGGCGTGTTTGCGCATACACGAATGATTATTTGTCACTCGGGACGAGTTCGTCCCATGCTGCCCGATGCTTTTTGTTCGTTCAGTACTGTTTTCCTTCTTTTTTTTCTTTTTTCTTTTTACACCACCGGTAAAGAAAAGTCGTTTCTTGACGTGAATCGATGCCGTGCACCGACTACTGGCCCTTCTGCGGTCGTATTCTCTTCTTGCTCGCTCAATTTTGAATGTAGCGATTTGAAAAGGTATAGTAACAACTGTACAATTTGAGGTTATTCTCTTTTTCTGTACTCGATACAAAACGATGGGTTTTTGTTTCATCGTGGGAAATAAACTGGTACTGATCGTTGTTCTTCTTTCAGTTTCAAATAAAATTGGCGCCGTGCAACGTTCTCTCGAACGTAACTGTTTATTACAGATTAAACAATGTAACGATCTAGCTGTTAAACGTCGCCAGTTCGATCGTTACTTGTGTTTACCGAAGGATCGTTTTAGACAAATGTTTAATTCGCGCAATTGTTCTCGAACGAATACCGGGAGAGTGTCTCTCTTGGAGGAGTTAGAAAGTCACTTTGAAAGATGTGGAAAGATACCTGTAAAAAAAAGTTTGTAAATTACGCTTTCATGCGATGCTTACAGTTCGCTCTCGCCGCGTGCACAGGCAGCGTGATTAAAATTTAGTTGCGTAAAGGTTCTTTGTAAACACCTCGCTACCAATCAACGAACACCGTTTCAAAAGAAAAATATGTCGGTACAATTTTCTTTTTTTTTTTTTTTTTATTATTAAACTTTGACAATGTCGGAGTTTAAATTTAACGGTCGTACCCGTAAATTTTCAAGTAACAATTTCAGCGTCGTAGATTTTTATTAACGCAATGACGTTGCCAAGGTATACTTACCGAGGTCGGAGAATTATTTGTTGAAACGCGTTCCGAGTCGTGATGTTTTACAGCGTCAGCGGTCGGGCACGCAATTATCGTTCCTGATTCCTGTTTTAATTTTCAGCGGGCTGTATCCACTATCGCGGTCGAATCTAATCGAGATCGAGGATCGATCTTGCTCTCCGTATCGGTTTCGCAGAGATGTTGGAACACGCAACAACTTGTAGCTCGTAGGAACGTGCAGAGAAACGCGCTTCGTAGAATGTAGATTGCGTGATGTTCGGTGCAACACGTGAAATTTTTCAAGAAACCGAATCTGTTCCCCCCGGTGATAGCAAAATGGCGTAAATAGAAGCCCGTCATATTTAAACGTGAGTCGAGGATCTTATTTTAAATTACAGAATATATTAATAATTTCCAAAGATATTTTACATGAATATTTTTCTTTTTTTAAGCAGAACGAAGATGTTTTTGAACCGCTGTCGCATTATATGGAGTACCGTTGAAATATTTCGACTTCTCGATTAATTTCCTGCTTGTACATTTAATTAATAGGAGGATTAATAGGAAATTAGGTTGGCAGAATTTTATATAATACGCCATCTCGCGACGATTCAAATAGAAATTAACGAGGACTTGTCGCGTAATTGCCACGATAAATCGAGTAAGAAGATATTTTTTCGCGCCAATTTACCACCGACACACGACCACGTGTCGTGCGTTCTCGCGTTCGATTCTTTCCACGTCATGTGCAACGCCGTGCGTATCAGAAATAGGAAATTTGAATTACCAATTAATATCTGTTCCAAATTAATGTCGATTGGACAATTTACGAGGCGACAACGGTGCCTTGAGACCACTGTACCATGAAAATAACTCAGTTTTCTTAATTAACGCGTTAATCGTACGTACAAATTAGATCGCCGCTATGAAGCTGCATTCGTAGATCGTTAGCTGTTTACATTTCAATTAGAGGCAACGAAGTGTTTTGTTTCGTTACGAAACTCGTAATAAATAATCTTAGTAAATGTATGTTGAACACTCGATTTACGGAACTTGTACTTAAAGTTACGGAATTCATAAATATTATCTTGAATTTTATTAACATGATCATGATCATGTGACTGGTTCTAATAAAAATAGGCGCGATCAATGTTCGTAAATCTAGCGGTTCAGCTTGAAAAACTTAACGTTTAACGGTTGGATGTAGTGCAGAGTGCGAGTCTACGATAGCAATAAATAGTCGGTTGGTAATTGCCATCGATTGGACAATTGGCAGACCTGAAAACCGTATCAGGAAGGAAGCCTGGCTCGGGTGAATTTTCAAACGGTCTTGCGGCAGGCAAGAACCGAGCCTCGCCGCCACCACCACCAATGCGCCAGACCCAAGGGCTCCACGGTGTTAGTGTGCGTGTGTACACGGTGCGACAGGGCGCAGACAGTCTCGTGGCTCTCGTAGCAAACACTGGTCGACCAGTGGCGGGGATATCAGATCGATACTCGGCGAAAAGCGCGGGTAGGAGAGGCGCAGCTATACGTATCTACGGTTGGTCCATCGCAAGATCCAGACTGCCGGTTCTATGCACTCGTGGCTACGCCCCTCCTCCGTTTAATGCCAACAAAATTCGTCCGATTCGCATCGCCAATCTCGCCATTATTTATCTCGCACTTATTGCTGAAAAATATTGCGACTTGATAACTTTTATATTGTCTTATAATAAAAAGCCACGAGACTGGTTATGCTTATAATGGGGATTGCGTAATAGAGGGGGCCAAAAGCTTTGAAATTGTACGTTGAGTCAGCAATCGTATGCTCCACAAAATTAATACTTAAGGACTTGTTCATCGAATAAAATTCGGATTCTGAAATACTATTTCGATACTTAGGGGGGCATTTTGATCTGAAAGGTCAATTTTTATAGTCTTTGTATGATTGTCAAAGTGTTGACGTACAATCCAGTACTGTTATTATAAAAAAAATTCAAATGTTTTTTGCTGCACCGGGGAAAGGAAAAACTTTATTCTTCCAATTTTATAGCGCGAAAATTGTATCAGGGAACACGTGGTTAGATCGGTACAGGCTGCTCGTTGTTGCTCTCTCGGACACTTTCACATTGCTCGGTCCGATATCTAGTGTGGATACACGTACACGTACGCTGGTTTTCTGATATTTATTTAACAGCCATGAGAACGAAGCCACCGGAAACGGCCGCTTCTCGTTGCCTTGCGTCGTTCGAAATCCGTACTCGAACTTCTTTTTTCGACGAG